TTGTGACTGCATATCTATATGGTTCACTTGTTAGTGACATATTCATGAAAATCCCTGAAGGATTTAAGATCCATAATGGATCAAAGATGCCTAACGCATCTAAAGAGCTATATTCGGTTAAACTACAGCGATCACTTTACAGATTAAAGCAATCCGGACGCATGTGGTATAATCGCTTAAGTGAGTATTTGTTGAGTAAAGGTTACGTCAACAATGTGATATGTCCTTGTGTGTTTATTAAGAAAATCTGCATCAGGATTTGTGATCATTGATGTATATGTTTATAACTTGAACATGATTGGAACTTAAAAGGAGATTGATGATGCAAGAGCTCATAGGAAAGATGAGTTTGAAATGAAAGATCTTGGAAAGACAAAATTTTGCCTAGGGCTCCAGATAGAGCATTTCCAAGATGGAATATTTGTGCATCAATCAAATTATACCAGAAGAGTGTTGAAACGCTTTAGTATGGATAAAGCGACCCATTTGAGTACTCCAATGGTCAATAGACCACTTGATGTTGACAAGGATCCATTTCGACTTTGTGAAGGTAACAAAGAAATATTAGGTCCTGAAGTGCCGTATACTTGCGCTATCTGTGCCATTATGTATCTTGCACATTGTACTAGACCAGATATAGCTTTTACTACTAACTTTCTTGCAAGGTATAGTTCATCACCGACGCACCGGCATCATAATGGATTAAAGCATATATTCCATTATCTTCAAGGTTCGATTGAATTTGGATTATATTATTCTAGAAACCCCGAGGTTTGTCTAGTTGGTTTTGCAGATGCAGGATATCTGTCCAATCCGCATAAAGCTCGATCGCAAACTGGATATGTTTTCACATTTGGTGGAACTGGATATGTTTTCGCATAAAGCTCGATCACATTTGGTGGAACTGCGATCACAAATGCAAACTTTGGTCGCAACTTCTTAAAACTATGCGGAGATTATTGCACTTCATGAAGCATGCAGAATGCGTATGGCTTAGATCCATAACTCATCATATATAAGAGTCAAGCGGAATAATCACTGATAAAGGACCAACAAAGGTGTTTGAAGATAATGCTGCTTGTGTCGCTCAAATTAAAGAAGGTTATATCAAGAGCGATAGAACAAAGCATATCTCTCCAAGATTTTTCTCATATACTCAAGAGCTCGAGAAGAATAAAGTAGTGTATATTCAATATGTTCGTTCAAGTAACAACACAGCTGATCTCTTCACAAAAGCGCTTCTTACTACAACATTCAAAAAACATGTTCATATTATTGGAATGCGGCATCTACGAGATTTGTGAAGAGAGGATGAGATCTATCTTTTCCAGGGGAAATTTGCTATTGCTGTACTCTTTTTTTTCTTTTGTCATGGTTTTTATCTCATTGGATTTTTCCATAGAAAGGTTTTTAATGAGGCAGCACGCAACTTCATAGTGATGGATACTCAGGCGTCGTTTCGAGGGGGAGCGTTACTGCACTCTTTTTCCTGTTATGGTTTTTATCCTAAAAAGGTTTTTCTCTGATAAAGTTTTTAACGAGGACGTACGTAATATATCATTAATGATGGATAATCAAGAGGGAATGTTAAATGGATTGTGATTATCCATTTGCTTTTGTCTTTATACATTAACATATTGAAGGATAATGCTTATCCATATATTGTTTCTTTATACATTAGCTTACTTTACTATGAAATAATGTTTTTCCTATAAATAGGTGACTTTATTATTTGTAAAATCATGAGTTCAGAAGAAAAAAAAAATAAAGTTTTTATGTTCATCTTTTTCTCTCTCTGAAGTTCAAATATCTTAAACTCTTATTTGTTTTTCTATATAAAACATTAGTTTACAACAAAAATATACCATTATTTTTAACCATGGGAAAGACAATATTAATTTATTTTAAGTTTAAATTTTGTTTGCGATTACATTCAATGAATTTGTTTTTTTAATGGTTTTTTCGCATATCTCTCCCATGCATAACAAATGATAATTAACAAATGATAATTAATTTATTATGCTATTAGCCACTTTATAGATTTTGAACCCAAAAAGATGTTGTCTACTTTTACCAATTTCCTATCTTATAAGGTTAAATTATTTATTCATAATTGTAAGTCTGCTCACAATTTTTTTTTACACCTTTAAGTCTCATAGGACACACCAATACTCTTATAATCTTTATGATAAGCTCTATGTTTCACAACCACATAGACTTTGTTTCTTGTTGCTGATGCTCATAGCCTTCGCCTGTTTCCGTTGGACGTCTTACTCTTCTACTACTCGAAGAATATGAGATTTTTTTCTCCATCACGCTCTTCCACCTTCGACATTTTCCGTCTAATGCACTGGCCTTTTTTTAAATAATTTTTTTACTTTTTTCCAGCATATCTGTGACCTTCTATTCTTCTAGCGCCAGCGCAGTTCTGATTATAATTTTTGTTACTGCGGAATGTGGATCTGGATCATCAAGTGTAGACAAAAAATTTGTATTTGTTAATATATCCAAATATCTAAGTTGCTCAAAATAGTTAACTTTTATATAATAGGAGCCACATTTAACGTTTTAGAACAATATCGCAAGAACATCTTAAAAGAAACGGTTACATGTCACTAAAACCATTAGCCTAACGTTGATGTCCATCATGTATACCATCGTAATCATAATGACTCGCACGTTCAACTCAGTCAAAAGTTAACTACTTAGTCTAAAAGAGAGTAAGAAACATTTTGATATTATTTGTGATAGTTTGCTTGCTTTGACATTTTATCATCATTTATTTCTCTTCTGCTTCATTATGATAAGTGCACTTGAGGCGAACTTAGCTGTGTTTTTGGCGAGAGACACATAAAGCTTTGAAAGGACAAGAAGTTACATGTTCTACACCAAATATGTGGTAGAATTTTTATAAATGCTCCTACCATTTAAGCCGATCAACAGTAGATCAAACCGAGTAAGCAACATTGTAACCTGTAACAAGCAACTTTGCAGGTAAGAAGCTAAGGGGTGAATATAGGCTAAAAATTGGAAACTATATAAGAAAACATGTGTCCTAAAGACTCTTGAAAGAAAATCAGTGATCAATTGCACAACATCGTTGATATTACCTGCAGAAATTTGCGAGAGAATTGATAAACTTAAAACGAGAGTCAGAGAAGGAACTGAACAGCGACAGCGACGGGATTGCTGGAGATGATTGTTTGGGCCATCTGCATCATTATCTTCATCGCATTCGTCAACCGAAAACTCATCGGAAAACTTTTCATCTTTGCATCTTTACAATATGGACAATTATACAGATCATCAACTGCATAAGCAAATCGCAAAAAAAGTATCACACAATATGAGACATAAGTTGCGGGTAATAGATTTTCGACGCACCTTTACCTCCACAAGCTTTAAATTTTTGGTGTGTCTTAGGCTGTTCTTATATTTGTACTTACACCATTTTAAACCATTCTATATAATCATGATTATTGGATACGTTTACAAATACAAATTCATGCCAACTTAGCAAGTTAAATTAGGGGTAAGTCCATGTTTGATCGATAATAACACAGGTAGTTTGGTGAAGATAGAGAAATTTACAATGGACGCTATCAGGCTGCTTTGTATAATGTGTGGATGACCCCATATGGTTTTTCAAAGATCCGAGATGATTACCTACAACATGAAAAACTCAAGTGACAATCAAGTGTAGGCCTGTAGGGGTAAAACAAAATAATTGAAACAGGAAAGAGAAGAAAGGTTCGACCTCATCAAAAGTCTTGTAGTTTAGTGGTTGAGAAGAAGAGCATATAGATCAATAGATGCCATCTTTGGAGTTGAGAGAGTCTCTATTTGCAATGGATCTGCGGTCAGTTTTTGTAGCCTTTATTAAAATTGGTTACTCAAATCAGGAAGTGGCTATTAAAATAGAGGATTTGAAAATAATATTTCTGCTGTGAAGGAAAGGAAGCGGCAACTGTTGTTACATAGGGGTAGGTCTGGACATTTGGATAATCGGGTCGATTTCGGGTCGTATTCAATCGGTTCTGATTCTGGGTTGGATGCGGTTGGTTCCGATTCTTTCGGATAAGGAATTTTATACTCATATAGGTAACAAAAGGATTTTTGATTCGGATTCTGTTTGGTTCTTACTGGTACTGGATTGGTTCTGTTCTTAAGTTTCAGAAACAGTTTAAAATCTGAAAATTTGGTTTTCTTATAATTTTGGTTTGTTTTTTTTTTTTACCTTACTAGATTCGGAATCGTCAAAAAATATAACCATATATCCGAAATATAACCAAATATCCAAACAAAAAATAAAACTTTCTGGAAATACTGAATTTTTTTGCCAACTTGCAAACTGATTTTCGGATTGGATATATCTCGGAATTAGTAACGAAAAAAATACATGAATAGCTGACTTCGAGACCTATGAAACTGTATGTAGATCGACATTTGGGTCATCTGATTTATTAAGAAATCTCTTTACAAAACTTTAAGTGCATAAATATTTTAATTTCGGTTCACTGATCGGGCATTGAATAGGAATTGGAACCGATCCGATACCCACAGTTCCTAGATAAATAGACTATAACCAAATATTCCGGGTCGATTCTGGTTTAGGTTTTTGAATCTGGGTATTTGACGAATCAATTTTAATTTGTGTAAGTATGTTAAACATCATTAAATTATCGGCTGTCGTAAAAACTTAAAACATTATTAGGTTAGTGAATGGATTTAAAATGGGCCATTGAAACTAAATATGTAAATGATATTTCAGATTATCAAAAATGCATGAATTGTAAACATGCTAGCTGAAGAAGTGGAAGAATTTAGTTTGTTTTAACTATACTACATGGCTACATGGCAGATTATGGAGAATTTGTTTTAGCTGATGTGACAGGAGCCTCAAACAGTACATTTTATTAGTTAGGATTAAGGGCATGTTATTCTAGTAACTCGCCTATGTTAATTTTGATATAAAATATGATATATATTTTTTAGAGTCCCTTTTTCTTTATCCCCCAACATTAATATTTAACGAACAAGTACGGTAGTTTACAGAAAACAAAAATATTATCAAATTAACATCATGCTAAAGAAATTTAATCACACATATATCAAAATGAGAATGGTTATTTGCACGTATTCTTGAGTATGACTTGAAGATTTTCAAATTAGACACGTTAAGTTCCAACAAAACCAACTCCGGAGATGAGAAAGGCAGTGGCTTGCATGCAGAGATATACATATAAAAATGCATTCCCGAAGGCAAAGTCGTAGTAGGCACAGCACAATATGTATATACCCATAATCATTTCCTTTGGGTTTACTCTGCAAAGGAAATTCTCTCACTCATTAGTATCAGACTATCAGCTATTGTTTTCTTCATTAGGTCTCTATAAATCGTACTATATCTAATTCCGATATTATAAATGCATTCATCTGTTTTAAGTTTCTTACCTTTCGAAAAATCCATAACGAGGCTTCCTCGACTCGGGAAGTAGCTCGGTCTTAAGTGCTTCTCCTGATTTTTTGGTGACAACCCATTCATTAACTCTTCCTCCTTCAAATAAGCCAATGAACGTTCCCTTGGTCCCGTGCATAGCCATTACATTTTCGAATATGACCCAAAAAACCACGAGGTAGAATGATCTATGCGCATGTGTACAGACAACTCATAGTAAGAAGGAAATTAAGGTAATACATCGAGTGAATAAATGTGGTGGTCGTAAGTAGTCGTACTAACCTTGGACTGGCAATGGCACTTAAGATGGTGATGATAGAAGGAACGTATATAGTTGACCAATTCGAAAATTTTGACTTCGGGAAGGAAGACACTTGTAGGAAGAATGACACAGTAGAAGAAGAAAGTGAAGAAGTGGACTATGATCTTCCGTAGGAAAAAGAAGCTGTAGATCACGTAAACCTTCTTCCAAATCTTCACACGCTGTTTATCATAAGTTAGCTCAAGGTCATCACTTTGTGGTCTTATTTGCATATAAAAATAAAAGAAACTCTCAGTCTTTGTTTCTACTCAGGCTGGTTTAACTCAAGACTTGAAGATTTTAACCAAATCAGTAATAGCAAAATACATATGGACTAATTTAGTTGATAGAAATCTTGAAGATTTTTTATTAAGTGAATGTCAATTGCAATGTTTAACACGATAAATATGTAGAATCACAAGATAATAAATCGCATATATATTTGAATTTCTTATTTCTTAGTTTGTTGCAAACCGCTTGTGGAAAAGCATATACATTACATCCTAGACTACTTGCCTAGAACCGACCATGCGTGAACCAAACGTTATTAGATAGTTCTTATCAAAATAAATTCAATACCGTGATGATAGTTCTTTTTTCCTTTTTTTCTTAAACAAGACCATACAAAACCGAATAAACTAGTGACCAATCATTTTAATTTTATACTTTTTGCTGGATTTCTGGTGGTTAGAAATTAGAATAAGAAACTTGTCCCCGTTAAAGCTGTCGCTAATGACGAGCTAACAGAAAGTAGTTGGCACGTTAGAAATGTGCGCCAAAATATGAAGTAAAATAACTTGGTCAAGACCTTATTGTGAATGATTTCCATCGTCATTTTCCGGAAGAGATTGGCTGGACCACAAGACCACCTATGTTGCTGGAATCTAAAGGCCTTAAATTGGCTTGGTAGCTCGCTTTTCACCTACAATTGCAATTATATTTGTTTCAGAAGAATTATAAACATTTTATTTAGATATCGACATACAAATGCACACAAGATACAGATATAGCGACACCGACACGACATGCAGCTACACAATAGTGATGTATTGTATATATTATTTTTTCACATTTTGAGAAAAGGATTGCACGCATTGCATACTATCACAATATTTGGTGCAAAATAATTAAACTTAACTAACTGAGAGAAAAACTCACGTTTTATAGTTATTCAGCTTACGAGCTTTCTTGTTACACTAACTTCGTCATTTTATTATTTATTTCGTTATCCATTTGACATAATCCACCGGTCAATATCACTATATGTATGTGATTAGGAACTGCATTTATACTTCAAGAACTGAAACTATTGTTTTAAAATGTGAATTTATGTGCATGTGAACGCAAAAAGAAAACTGGCGTTTAAAATAAATGCAGTCCTGCGGAAACATTTTAGCCATATAAATTAAAAGAAAGAAAATAAAGTACCTCAACTCATTGATGAAGACAAATTTCCAACCGAGAAGACCAACACGAACTGCCAAGTCCATGTCCTCTACGGTCGTCCGGTCTTTCCATCCTCCAGCTTCTTCCATTGCGGCGATTCTCCATACACCTGCTGTTCCTGCATATATAAATCCCACAACAATAAAATATTGTAAACCAAATAGGTTTAGTGTAAATGTTTTAATACCATTAAAGCCAAAGAAAGCATGTCTTGTAGATCCAGATTGTTGCTCTGCCATGAAATGGTAGTTGAGAGACATCTCTTGCATCCTCGTCAACAAGCATGTGTTCACATTTACTGCATGACCGAATCATATATATCACGAACGCTTTCAAATAAATGGTTATAAACTAGTTAATCTCGCGATGAGCGAAGTTTATTTTATTATCAGGAAATTTCAAACCGAAATCCAGATTAATCTCCAAAACCTATAGAACACCATGTGTTCTTATCATTTAAAAGATATACAATGGTTAATCATTATCAATAAGAAGACTCTGTACTCATCTGTCAGAGAAAAAAAATGGTAATTGCTATTTCACTAAAAAATAGAAGACCCAAACCCTGATCGTCCAGCCCTAAGATAAGTCCTTCAATTATTGGACAGTTAATGAGCTTATGCATATACTTAATGTTTTAAACACTTAATTATGTATATTGGATATGAACCAATACCAAATTTCTAATACTAGAGACGTTTGAAATGCCTGAGTTCGTTGTTGTTGTTATATTTATGTACATACCGAACCTCCATCGGGCTTGGACGAGAGCGAGCTCAGGGTTGTGGATAAGAAATGGGATAGTGCGTTGGAGGTAATCTGGCTCGGGCTGGAAATCAGCATCAAAGATGGCCAGATAGTTGCATTGCTTGATGTCGTTGTGCATCATGCCGTGTTTAAGAGCACCAGCTTTGTAGCCATTTCTGTTGTCTCGTCTCTCATATTTTATGTTTATGTCTTTTGATGCCCATTTTGCACAATCCATGCTTATCAGTTCCTGAAATTTAATGAAATTATAATTCACACATTATGCAATATTCAACAATGTTATAATTTATGTTCAATATTAAAATGTAATTTATATTCTTATGTCTAATATTTCAAATCCTAAGAAATATATATAGTAAGTGTTCAATAAAATTCTTAATACTATCTTACCAAAATTCACGAATTTTATTCTTTCAAAATTCAAAAGTTAAAAAATGTTGACATAGGAACGAACTCCCAATTCAAACACCGATTTTATTTTTATTATATTTATATACTGTTTTTTTCTTTCCAAGAAACACTCTAAAGAAAATATAGCATGCATAAATTATGCGAAAATTAACAAAAGAGACCATTTAAAAAATAATGCCTAGAATTAATGCCTAAATCATAAAATGGTAAACCCTGAAACTGGAATCCTGAAAATGACTTTAATTTTAAATAGGAAAATATGTCATTCCTTACGGAATTAAGAGAAGTACATTATTTTGGGTTTATGGTTTATTTTTAAGGTTTAGAATTTTTTTTTTATATATATTTTTTGTCAGCTAGAATTTATTTTCTAAGAATATCATATAGGATTTCGAGTTTAGGGACTTTTTGGGTAAATTTGAGTATATTGTTAATTTTTGAAAATATGACCTATACTTAAATATAGCGTAAAATATGACATATTTTCGTAGAGTCATTTGTATTTTTGTGTGTGGAGCACTTTGTCCATAGAGAGTTAATTAAGAACGAACCATGACGGCTGGATCGATGGAATCATCTAAAACTTGAACAATTAGGCGGTCCAATGGCCATATTAGTCTGCAAGTAGCACTTATAGATAATTCAAAGAGTTGCAAATTCAACAGTACGGTGTTGGTAATTCATACATAGCAACTTTATGCTAGTTAAAAACATGCATTAGGCTCCCCCTCCCTCCATCACCCAATGTCGTCCTCTTCTTCCCCTTCGATAGACCCGCCAGATCCGACTTCTTCGGTTGCCGAGCCGCCGTCAGTTGTGATAACTCCTTTTTCTCTTGCTCCTCCATCTGAATCCGGCTTCAAGTCGATTCCATCATCTCCCCTGGTTCCTCCGTCCGCTGCTCCTCCATCCTCTTCCTCGGTTCCCCCGGAGATTCCTTCTTCATCTGCTCTGCCGTATGCGGCTCGTTTTAAAGCATCGCTACGAAATCTTAAAAAAATGTCACCTCTGACTTTCCTCGATGACGGCACGCCGATAGTACAGGCGCCAGAATCAGTGCTCCTTCAGGCTTCTGAGCTTTGGAAAGGGCACATAGTGGCTCAATTCCATGGACTTCTTCCTCCGGCTTCTGTGGTGTTCAATGACCTAAATCCAATTTGGGGAAAATTTGGCAACATTTCAATGCGCAAAATCTCCGACTTCGCTTGTATGATTTTCATTCCCTCGCTACAAACTAGGGAGTGGGTCCTGCAGGTAGGACTTTGGCATGCCGGTCACTGCTCTTTCACAGTAACCCCTTGGACCCCTGAAGGTTCTCTTGACATCGCTGAACTCCATTCGGCTCCTACATGGGTAGTTCTGAAAAACGTTCCTCCAATGCTTTACTCACTAGATGGTATTAGTGTGATTACCAGTGCTATTGGAGAGCCTCTACACACAGAGAAATCTCGTTTGGATGCAGTAAATAGTGGTGAAACTAAGGTCAAAGTAGAAATCCTGCTCGACAGCTCTCCCCCCGAAACCATCATTGTCCGCGATTCTCAAGGAAACACAGCTACGGTCTCTGTATCTTACCCAAGGCTCCCCCCAAAATGCTCCATATGTCGTCGCTTTGGCCATTTGCTGAACCGCTGTCCACAGACCTTAAGCAAGCGTTCCTCTCGGAAGAGTGTCTCAACCTCGACAATAGTGCTAAATGACACTTCGACACTAAACAAACAACCTTCTTTGGCCTCTGATATTCATTTTTCTGCTGGAAAACAAGAGAGCCCTCACCAATCACCGGAAGTAAAGAAGCCCAGAGAGAGATCTCGATCACGATCTAGAGTTCGGCCTTTGAGCTCTCCTCCAGTGATACCCTCCGGCTCTATGCTTCAGAGCTCACCTGATAAAACGGATAACCGGGACCCTTCTCATGTTCTCGAAGACCCTTCATCAAAGGCTCCTCCTGAACAGCATACGGTTTTAGAAGCTTCGCTCAGGAATATCAAAGTGGGTCCCGTCAATAAGGTTGACCTGCCCTTCTTGCAGTACTTGACAAAGTCTGCCAAAAAACATGCGAATAAGCTTCGGAGGCAGGCTGCGCTAGCTGCAGCTTCTCCTGAAGTCCAACTACCAGCTCGTCAGTCTCCCCATGTGAAGGGAAAGGGAAAGTCCTCCTTTGGGGGTCGGTCTCGCTAGTCTCGCTCCCCCATTTTTTTGTGTATATATGATGAAGATGAAGTTCTTTTTTTGGAATGTTCGTGGTTTAAATAGTTTTTCTCGGCAACGGTTGGTTCGCTCTTGGATTCATCACAATAAACCGCTGGTAGGCGGGTTTCTGGAAACTCACGTTAGAGAGGAACGTGCTTCTTCCGTTTTGGCCTCAACCCTTCCTGGTTGGAGGTTCGATAATAATTATGCTTTTTCGGATAATGGCAGAATCTGGATAGTTTGGGATCCAGCTATCTCGGTAATAACTCTCTACAAATCAGAGTAGCTTGTGCTCTGTAATGTTCAGGCGCCTTTCAGCATTTCTTCCTTCACTGTTGCTTTCGTGTATGCTAATAACACTGAAGGACAGAGGAAAAGACTGTGGGAGAAAATCTCTTATCTAAACTCGACCTCTCCACTAAACTCTCACCCTTGGCTTATCGCGGGTGACTTCAATCAGATCATCTCCAGCTCAGAACATTTCTCAATCCTTCCTACTACTCTGCCTCTCACTGGTATGGCAGATTTCCAAGATTGCTTAACCAATAACAATTTAGAAGATCTTCAGAGTAATGGAGTTTTATTCACTTGGTCGAACCATTGTATCCATGCTCCAGTTCTGAGAAAGCTTGATCGTGTATTGATTAATGATCAATGGGCTGCTGCTTACCCGGATTCCTTGGCGGTTTTTGACCCTCCTAGAGCTTCTGACCACTCTCCATGTCTTATCAGCCTTGATGCTTCTGTGGAACGTGGTAGGAAAAGCTTCAAGTATTTCTCCTTCCTTGCTACTCACCCGAATTTTAGCAGCTTCATAGATAAAGCTTGGTCTGCTCCCATAAGTGTAGGCTGTGCAATGTTCTCGCTCGGTCAACGTCTTAATGCTGCGAAGTTATGCTGTCGTACTCTGAATAAAGACGGCTTTGGTAACATTCAACAAAAGGCTTCTGATTCCTTGGCCAAACTAGAAGCAATTCAACTTCGTCTCCTCACTAATCCTTCAGCGGACCTCATCCATGCTGAATCTGAGGCCCGAAAAGTTTGGATATTTTTTGCTGCGGCTCAAGAATCCTTCTACAGGCAGAAATCTAGAATCCGGTGGCTTAAGGAGGACGATGCAAACACTGCTTTCTTCTTTAAGGCAGTAATTGCCCACCAAGTAAGGAACTTAATTAGATACCTCCGAGATTGCAATGGTTATCATATCACTGACCCCACCCACCTGAAAGATATGATTCTCACTTACTATACCACTCTCCTGGGAACTTCTTCGGTTGGCATTACACCATACTCTATTGCGGAGATTCGCAGTCTCCATCCATACCGATGCCCTCAAGCTCTGGCTCCCCAAATGTTAGCTATTCCTTCCACCGAAGAAATAAGGTCAACTCTATTTGCTATGCCGAAAAACAAAGCACCAGGACCCGATGGATTTCCATTGGAATTCTTCTTGGATGCTTGGGCGTGGGTAGGAGATGATACTGTAAAAGCGGTCAAGGAGTTCTTTACTGCAGGGATTCTCCTGAAACGCTACAATGCTACGGTTATTGCTCTCATATCCAAAACACCAGGTGTTGATCAGCTATCAGGATACCGTCCCGTCTCTTGCTGCAACACGGTTTACAAAGTCATTGCTCGGATCTTAAAAAAGAAGCTTCAAACCTTTGTATCTGAGGTGGTTCAGCCCAATCAGGTAGGATTTATCAAAGGTCATCTACTATGTGAAAACGTCCTATTGGCCTCAGAACTTGTAGAGAACTTCCACCAACCGGGTGAGATTCACAGAGGTTGTCTTCAGATCGACATAACAAAAGCTTTTGACAGCCTAAACTGGGACTTCCTCCTAAATATCCTTCGAGCCATTGACCTTCCTTTCGACTTCATTAATTGGATCCGACTATGCATCACTTCTCCATCCTACAGTATTGGGTTCAATGGTGAAATGGTAGGCTACTTTCCGGGAAAGCGGGGATTAAGGCAAGGGGATCCAATCTCTTCCCTTCTATTTGCCCTTGCAATGGATGTTCTTGCAAAGAAGCTTGATCAAGGAGCAGCTTCTCACTCCTTCGGCCTTCACCCGAAATGCAATGCGCCTTTAATCACTCACCTAAGTTTCGCGGACGATATTCTCATTTTCTTTGATGGCTCAGACAATTCTTTGCAAGGTATCCTCTCGATTCTGGATGACTTCAAACTCGCTTCAGGCCTTGGGATTAATAAGGAAAAGTCCTTTCTGTTTCTCGATGGAGGAAATGTTAACCATGCCCGTGAACTAGCGATTCTTCATGGTATCTCCCAAGGATCTCTTCCTGTAAGGTACTTAGGCGCTCCTCTCACTACAAAAAAGATGTCTAGGAGTGATTATCAACCGCTGATTGAAAAGGTGACAAAGAGATTCTCCTCTTAGACTGTTCGTCAATTGTCCTTTGCCGGAAGACTTCAATTAATTCAGTCAGTCATTTATTCTACCATCAACTTTTGGGTCTCTATTTTTATTCTTCCAAAGCAATGCATTGCTTCCTTAGAGAAAATGTGCAGTGCTTTCCTTTGGAAAAGGGAAACTTCCTCAGCTCGTGGAGCGAAGATTTCTTGGGACTCAGTCTGTACTTCTCGCGAATGCAGTGGTCTTGGTCTTCGCAGACTGTTGGATTGGAATAAGGTGATGGGGTTTAAGCTGATTTGGTTAATTTTCACCTCCAGCGGCTCCCTGTGGGTCTCCTGGATCCGCTACCATCTTATAGGTACCAACAACTTCTGGACGCTAGAAACTAATTCTGGTAGCTGGATTTGGAAGCAGCTTTGTAAGTTGCGAGAGTTGGCTAGACCGTTTATTTTTTGTGATGTTCGCTCGGGGATGACTGCTCAGTTCTGGCATGACAATTGGACAGGTTTAGGTCCTCTTATTGAACTCTCTGGTCTTGATGGTCCTCGTTGCACCGGCCTACCTTCTCAAGCGGTTGTAGCGGATGCAATTCGCGATGGGAATTGGTGGCTTCATCGATCACGAAGCCGTAACCCAATTATTTCTCTGGTCTGCCAATGCCTGCCAGATCCTCACCCCATTGCAACAGCTGAGGAGGATGACGCTTACTTATGGAAAATTGGCTCCAATGGAGTTCCTAGAGGTTTCTTCTCTGCCTCGGCAACTTGGAAGCACCTACATCCTACATCCTCGGTGGTGTCTTGGTTTAAGACGGTTTGGTTCTCTGGAAGATTTCCAAAGCACTCGTTCATCTGTTGGGTTGCAGCGCGTGATAGGATGTATACGAGGGACAGGATGCGAAGTTGGGGCCTTAACATCCCAGCCAACTGTCTCCTCTGCAATACAGTCGATGAAACGAGGGATCATCTCTTCTTCGATTGTCCTTATAGTCAGGAGGTATGGTCTTACTTCTACTTAGCTGCCCATTTAAATCCTCCGGCTGCTTTTGATCTCCTCCTGGTTTGGATGTGCAATCTCTCTCGAAACAAGAACATCTCTCTCATCATTAAACTTGCGTTTCAAGCTTCTCTCTATGCAATTTGGAAAGAAAGAAACTCCAGGTTACACTCTTCAATCTCTCGTCCAGCTGCTCTGATTGTCGAAGAAATCAAGAAACAGTTAAAAGCTCGCTTAGATCCTTTATCTAGGGCTCAACCGGCCAATTTAGCTTCTATCTCTTACTTAACCACTTGGTTCTCTCTCTTCTAACTCTTTCTTTTGGTCGTTTTTGTTAGTTAGGAAATCACAGATCTTCTTTATGATCTGTAGCATCCGAGCTGTAACTTTGCGGGGATGATTTGTATTTTTATTAAAAAATAAAAATAAAAATAAAAAATAAAAAACTTTATGCTAGTTGACATATGAGACAACATCTAGTGTGGATGTATGTTGACAAGACATAGCTAAAGAGTAACGAGTGGAGTCAGTGTTATTTGCACAAAAAGACCGAATTGTTTTATGGAAAGGACACATAACAATGGAATAATCACGTGTGAGTTTTATTTATATAGTGTATTCTGAATCTAAATAGTAATGATATTCATATTTTTGTGGTTTTCAATGATTCGTTTTATTTGACGAATTTCGAAATATAGTGCAATAATCTTAAGAAATCAGGAAATTTCAGCAAATTATTGAATCAGGTGAAATCAGGAAATTTCTATAAAAAAAATATTTACTGTTGCATACAAATCCTAGTTGACTTTTGTCGTCTTAGTAATCAAGAATCTTTGGGAAATTTTTTTGGTCAGACAGCTTGGAAAGATTGTGATGGTCCACTCAAATCGTGGAGCCAACTTTTTCATAATTTTTGTTTGTATCAATCTTAAATTTTCACCGTAAACCCTAGTCTTAACTACATGTATATAATATTAATAGGTGATTGTCACGCACTTTATGCGGGAGATATTTCATTTTAATAAGATTGATAATGTTAGTATGTTTGGAAGTGGACAAATATAGTTTTTATTTGGACGTTCAAAAGATAGTACCTACGACTATGCAAGAAAATAGTCTTATCAATAAATCATCTACGGTATAAAATAAAAAAATGTTAAGATTTAGACTCATCATCACATATATTATTAGCATTAAACTTTTTAAAGTCTTAACAAATTGTTTAATAAAACATAGGCAATTTCTAAAAGATATTTTGATACAAGACTAATTGGTGTCTTATGCTCAATCACCCTTGCGTTAGTCAGTTGTAGTAAGGATTTTATGTTAATCCATTGGGAAGAGTTGAAACAAAAGAGTTGAGAGTAAAATCTCTAAGTCAAGCAGGCAGAGAATTGGTTTTGTTGCCTAAGCAACAGTTCTAGCAGCCTAAGTGAAGCAAGCAGCAACCAAAGTAAAAGCAGAAGCAAACTAAGCAATTCTAATTAGCAAGGAAAACAGAGTAAAACAGAGCAAAACAGAGCAAATCCGAAATTCAAATAAGAGAAAGGCAAATCTCTAGATGTGGTTATTGACTTTGGGGAATTTTAGGCATCAACTAAGGCTGTTTCAAACTACATTGATCAAGCAAGCAAGCAAGCAATAGTGATTCCTAGACATAGAGTTCACACTTAAGCTAGTTAGATCCAATCTCTTGGCAAATAACCCTTTGCTAAATATTCTAACAAGAACTAACTCTCATTAGTGCTAAAACATCAAGCAAGCATGATTAAACAACTTTATTCAAGTCAAAATGCTCCTCAAACAGTCAATCTCTTGAGCCAAGGCCAGCAAATCCTCTATTAAACATGATCAACATTTCATCAAACACTTGGTGGGCATAAGAGAAAGCTAACAACTTAGACAAGTTTGATCAAGACTAATCTAGCATGAAAAACAGATTAATAGAGAGGAACCCATAAAATGAAGAATATAACAAGCCTTAATCAAGCCTTAAATTCCCCTAATCTACCATATCTAGAAACCCTAAGATAACTACTCACTCATAATCATGTTTAACACCAAATCACAAAGGGAAAGGATGCTAATCATGATTAAAAGAAAGATTAAAACAAATACTTTATTATATTAAACAAAGCAAAGAAATTGTCTTACAAACTTAAAAGAAATGCTCAAGAACAGTAAAATGACATAACTTCTCGAAAATCTGGAAAAAGAGGCTATTTATAGCCTAGAAAGGAAAACTCTAGAGTAATGACATAGTTGTAATTAAAAACAGGTTCGAGCTGGGTCAGTATCGGTCAGTCGTGTCGATCTCCAGTGACCGAAATGGGTCCCTATCGGTCTTCAGTGATCGACACACATGACCGAAATTAATCCGATGTGTTTGTGTCGATCACACTTGACTGATACTGGTGACCGATATGCTCTGTATCAGTCACTCTTGACCGAAACTCTCCGTGCTCTGACCGAAAACTTCTGCAGAAATCTTCTGTTGTGATCCTTCTTGCTCCCTTTTGCCCAGCTAGCATCTTGTATCATTCCCAAAACTCCTCCAAGCTCCTTTAAGCTCCAAAAGCACCTAAAAACATCCAAAATGCAAAGATAATGCAAACTATATTCTAAATACAACCTAAGTCTAAAAGGAGAAGAAAATGGGACAAAAGCAAAGGGAAAACATGCAAAAGAGGATCAAAATATGTACTAAATGCAGCCCTAAGTGGTGTAAATACAGTGGATATCATATTTAAAGAACCATATAATGCTATGATCAAAAGCTGCATTGAATCAAAATGATTGTTGAACCAAAGACATATTTAATGGAAAAAGTGTAATCACACATCCTTTTATTCAATAAAGATAATCAAAATCACTGAATATTAAATTTATTTTGTTGATTGAGCTCCATATAAACAGAAAGAGACAAAATCAATATTTCTCAAAAACAATCATAAGATATACGAGAGTCTTAGGGCTTTTTTTTTTTTCCTTAGCTGTATAAACAAAGAATCTCTAATCATGTGAACTTTAAGAGCATCAATATTGAAAGCCCATGTGGGGGAAAAAAATGATGTGTCAAGCTCATATACTGAGAACCATCTTTTCCTAAGAACAACCCCAAAGAAGAACTTTAGGTGTTGTCAGTAAAAGGTTTTAGTAGTAAAAATAAATAAAAAATAGTGAAAAGATTTAAAATAAGACATCCAATGTCTAAAATAAGATACTTTTTGAGTTAAGACACACAATGTCTAAAACAAAATAATAAAATATTTTTAAGAACATTTTTATGAGTTCTCCATTAGGGTTGGTCTAAGAGCCCAAAAAATTGATTCTAAATTTTTATTAATATAAAATATACTTAAGAGCCATGAAGCTCTCCAATACTCATGCTCTAAGAAACTTTTAAAAAGCCATCTATCACATAGCAATGAAAACGGCTAACTTGAGATTAATCACTTTGTTTGCTAGAGTATAATATACTTACTCCAAAAGCTAAGCAACTGTAATTAAACTGTTTCCCTCAACGCAATCACCAAGACTCAACAAACTGATTCCACGACGAATACTGACCAAACTGGAGAAATGGGTTTAGTGTCGGAATATTGTTCCGCAGATTCTCAGGCCACCAATACCATCACCACCAAATCCTTGTGTCCTAATTAAAGCCCTCACTCAGATTATTGTTATTAAGAGCTAACGATGATTTTTTCGCAGATCTGGAGCCTCTTTCCAATGCTTTTTGCTTGTGCTCAGACACGAACAGATTAATATCACCTTCGGATATCAGATCTCCTTTTCATCTGTGTTATTCATACGCATGACGATAGTCGACTTCATACGGTTCCTCTCTGATGAGCCACACACGGAATCAAATCCGTTCTTCTTCACCGGACAGATATCGTTGAGTTCCTTCTAAAATCTGTCCCTGATAACCTTTTGATAACCGTTGAAGAGTAGTTTCTTATATATTGTTTAGGTATCTGAACTCTCTTAACACTGTCTAGAGCTACAGATCTTTTCCATCTTATGCAGGCTCATCATCACAGCCTCCTTTTACTGTGTTATGCAATGTGTGAGCTTGCTGTTTCTGAAACACAGGAAAAGAGAAATAAGTCAAAAGTTTTTTCACCATCGATTTCTCATGACCAAACCCGTTCATCTCTTTAATAGCACTCATCATAGATTTTTTATAGTCTCTTTAATAACTCTTTTCTATTCATATCTTCAATAGCATCCATCATAGAACTCTTTTCCGTTGATCTCTTCACTAGCGTTCATCATCCAGCAAACAATATATATAAGACAAAGATTAGGAATCCCATTAACAAAATTAGATCTAATTGTAAAAGTTATTGTTTATTTTAGGATTTAGTCGTAAGTCACTTTTTATTTGTCTAGCCGTAAACCAAAAAATTAATATAATAATTAATGATTAAATATTTAATAAAAGTGAATGAGAGAATTTTATTTGCCAAAAATCTTTTCGTAAATAATAATATAGATAGAATAGTATAAATAAGTAAATAATTAATATTAGATAAATAAATAAATAATATTAGATAAGTAAATAATTAATAGATTTAATTAATAGATTTCATTAATATTATTAAAAAAAATTTACATAAGGGATAAAAAGTAATCAACCATAATAACTTTCAACCACAGCCCAATTTGCTTGCCAATTAATAATATGATAAGGAGATAGAAGATAGGGTATTAATAAATTTGAACCTCTCCTTCGTTGTACATTGGGATCTGGATAAGAACCATTGGGTAGTTTTGATGACCGAGCTCCATATCTTCCTGCATTGGCTCCCATTTGTAGGTTTGCGGTTAAACAACTTGACGTAGAGTAGTACAAGGTTCATGTAAATACTCTCAACGAAAATTAAGAGTGAGATCATCAGACACATAGCCACCACACACTCAAACACTGGAACTATGACTACACTCCTCGAAGAACTCCACATAGTGTTCATGCTTATCCCAACACCATCCACGGATGCTTTAAGACTTCCTCCACGGAACTAATGCATAGACAAAGGCAGAGACTAAGAAATCAATATCTGACTCTGAGCAAAACAAATTGTGTGAAAATATAATTTTCTGTTGTGCTTCATTGACAATGACATATATATTATATACAATCTGAGGTATGAGTTGAGGATGGGCTATGTTGCCACCCTTTCGAGGAGGGTATCTGATTGGTTTGCCTTGATTGTTTTAAACACCATATCTGCAATCGCGTTTACATGAGAAAAAAACAAATTTGTTTTTTCGTCTTTTCAAAAGTAACCTATATGTCAAATGCAATCGAAAATTTCTGATTTCATTTAGTGTTTGATCTTATACGTTTACATTTTAAAATTTGTTTTTCTTAAGGTATTATTGAGTTTGTTTGGACATAAATACATTTGTTTCCTTTTCTGAACCTTAAGTTTATAAACTAATCACCATGATTGACAAACAAATGCGTTGTAAGAGAATTACAAACTTACACAAATGTAAAAAAAAAAAATTATTAAACGCAAATGCAATAATAAGAAGACAATTGATGCCTACAAAACCCAAAAAAAAAAAAAATTGATGTATCTATACTAAGAGAATGCGAAATTAAGAACAAAACATACATAAATAAATATACGAAATATGTTGTGAGATATGCATTGTAATAAGGAAAGGAAACATAGAGCGAGAGAGAAAAAGATAGAGAGCCAATGTCTTACCATTACCGAGAGGAGGGCAAGAGATAAATCGACTTTGAATACTACATGCTTTCTTTGTTTTAATGACCATATCTCATAAGGGCTCTCAATAACCAACTGATGTTTCAGCAAGTACTCAACTGTCTTGGATGACTATATGTAAGCAACATCTCTAAGCTTCACAATAACTCCAACAGAAGAGGCCTTCAATGCTTTCCATATATCATTTTCAACTCCTTCGTAGACCCTTTGAAAATTAGACAAATAGCAGTTGTGATCTATACTTCTTATCCTAGTAGGAGCTTCTGTCTCTTCACATAGACTTGGAAGATAACTGTCTTTCCCATTTGATGAAGCCATATCTACAAAAACAGAACACTCATATTAAGTTTTGAAACACTCACATCAGATATTAAGTTATGAAACACTCACTTCAAAAACTTAACAGCTGCGTTAAATGTACATGTAACTATCAAAATCTAAAAATTTGACACATTCAGATGCTACTGTTCTTCAGAATATTTCTGTTTAACAGGATAAAACATCCGAAATACTTACATGACCCCTCTTAGTAATTCTATGTTCGTCTCTTTAGTTATCGTGAATTGAAAACTCAAATCAAGTTCTTTACTTTGTCTTAAATCAGCGACACTACTCTCACATTGAATAAGACACTACTCTTGCAAAACTAATCAGTACAAACCTCAACTACAGAGCTGCTCCGGTGATAGCGATGATGTCTACGAAAGGCGACAACAATAACGAATTCCACACGCTACTTACAGCTCTGTTAACTTCGTAAGAGGAGCAATGGTACCAGGAATCGGTCCGACTAAACCACTTCCTTGAATAATCCTGATTCATGCAGATAAAACAAAAATTGCACTCCTGTATAAGTAACCAATACCGATATACAAAACGAAAGAATCAAAATGATGCTGAAAAGATTGCTCACAGTTTGTTAAGATTTGTCCAGTTCTGGATGAAATCTGGTATGGCACCAGTGAACTGGTTGTCAGTTATACGGCTATAAAGCAAGCGAGAAATATACATATAGGAAAGAAAAAAAAATTAGAATCTTCAGCAAAACACATGATGTGGGATCGAAAAAAAAGCAGAGGAATACGCTTACACATCAGTCAATGTAGTAAGTTTGGCAAATGTACTTGGGATGTCCCCACTCAAGTAGTTCGAGCTAACAAAGCTACAAAGACATAACAGACTCTCAACACCAGCAAAGACCGATAACTGTTTTTTTTTTTCTATTTAGAGAATTTGAGACAAAATGTTCTTACAGTCTTTAAATGTTTGGTAGATTCCCGAGCTCTGGAGGTAACTCTCCTGAAATCTGGTTGTATTCAACTACACTAAAAACCCAAATGTTTCAGACAAGAAAAAAACCGAATCAGTCTATTACCAAAGTATGAATTGTCCAAAACATTTTGGAAAAGAGAGAGTGATCAAAGAAGAGTACTCACAGGCTCTCAAGGGTTGTAATGTTTCCAATCTCTTTTAGGATTCGACCACTTATCCGGTTTCCAAGTAGTGATCTGCATTTCATCATCCAACAAATTTACTAAAATTAATCTATACATGTAACATACATATTTAGATCAAACAAAGCAAGGCAAAAATAAAACTCATATTTATTTACGATTTTAATTAATCAGATCAAACAAATCGATCCATCTTCAGTCGAAACAGAGAAATTTTAAGATAATTAAATATTTGGCAAGTAACTCAAATGGCAGGTTTAACAATGAACTAAACAAGGAATTTTAGTTTGGGAATCAAAGTTAACGGCGAATGCCATCCTCTAATTTGACTATTGTACATATGCAAAGCAGTCTATGGATGCAAGGAGATGAAGAAGCCTTAGTTTAGGATTCAAACAGATGCAAGGAGAGAAAGAAGCCTCACAAAGAAAATTTGAAATTGTAGAGATAGAGTATTTACCTAATCAAATGTAAGACAAAGCAATCTGGCTCTTTAGGCGAAGACGACGAGTTGAAAAGAACAGCTGTCGAAACTAGAGAATTCGAGAGAGGAGGTGAGGGCGGAGACACCGAGAAAATTATGGGGGATCTGCTTCTTCGGGCGGAGACGATGAATTGAAAACAACAGAAACTTTTCAGAAACTAGAGATTTTGAGAGAGGAGGTGAGGGCGGAGACACCGAAAAAAATCTGGGGGTGAAATTCTAGTGATTTATTTCAAATTTGAGTAGCAGAGATGATGAAGGAAAAAGGTTTAAAGTGGCTCCGGAATTTCATCACCAGTGGCTAGAATTTTGATTCCGGTGGAAAGCTTCGCAGCCCTAAACCTCCTTTTGTTTTGCCGTCGAATAATTTGATTCTGGTGAGTACTACTATTTTAGTATTTTACTTAACTTAAATTAATTTTAATTTTTAAATTTTAGGTAATTAAAAATGGCAAAAATGTAATAATTTTAATCACTTGTACATATTATGTCTTTTTACCAAAAATATGAGCTATTCTAGTAAATACTCATCCTTAGATGTTAGTTTAAGTAATTTTTGTGCTAGTTTAAGTAATTTCTGATAATAATATTAAAACGTGGGGAAATTATAATATCTAAAGTAACTAACGACGATGCAGAAGAAAATACTCAAGTTTTTGTTTGTACACATAATTTAACACATTAGTATTTCTATAAGAGGCGCTTCATACAGTTGAAAATTGTTTATGGTTTCTGTCTTGCGCAACATAATTATGTGACCCACTTATGCCCGTAGCGTACGAAAAACAAAACAGAGTTCTAAATTTGGTCCCTGTGAAATGGTAATGACAACTTGTAGCATCTGACGGAGTATAATCCACGCCCTGGGTAAGTGCGTACGTTGTTGTTTTCATTTAAACCACTCGAAATGGCAAAACATAATATATATCAAAAACTGACCAAAATAAAATAAAACTAAAGTTACACAGTACTACACTATTCCATTCCTATTTTTTAAAACCATTAATCTTAACTTGAATTATCATGTTTTACTTTAAAAAATTGAACTCATAGCTACTATATACATATTTGGACTATTTTCTTATTTTTTATCACTTTTGTTAGTCCAAGTAGATTCTCATCTTTTGGACCGTTAAAAAAATCCCATACTTAACCAATACCTTTTTTCAAACCATTAACTCTTTGTGTGTGATTATGAGGCCTTTATGCATTTTTTCTTGAATCAATTAAGTAAAAAATATTGAATTTAGGCTGACAAGGAGAAGCGCAAACCATCTTTGATATTGCTTGGATTAAAGACTTTTCATGCATTCTTACTATCACAACTATTCCAATAGATTGATATCTCAGATACTAAAATGACATGAGTAGTAGAGATTAATTTTTTAGTAGCAAAACATCTACTATCAACCTTACGTCACGTTTACTCGTCTAAGCTAGTTCTGGTTGTCGTATTCAGCACTTTTCGTGGCTCTAGCAATCCTAATATCAGTTTCTAGTTCATGACACTAGATACATGAAGTAAGGATAAACTTAAAAGCAGTTCAGGCTATTTTGCTTAATCTCATGGTGGGAAGGTCTCTGTTTGAAGCTAGAATTATGCTATCTGGTACTGATTCTTGAAATGCTCCCTTTTCTCCAGTATATATCATTTTTGGAGTTTTTTATACTCATAGTCACATTTTGACATTTTGTTTACATTTTAAACACTTTTTTCATGTGACATACTTATTGTTTTATTTTATACCCCATAATTTCCCATTTTATCCTTTTTTAGTTTGTTTATTTCTTTTATTCGATGCTGCTATATTTTTGTTGTTATCGAATGAATTGCAACAAACTTTACAATCCGGCGATGGCTTAAATTGTTTGCAAATTCATTGAAGTTTTAAATCATAAGAATGAACATCTTGAGCTATCCAAATAAAAAAAGATTATGGATTTCAAACTGCATAGATATAGGAATTAGCTGCATCTGATTGGCTGCTTGGATTAGTGTTTTATTTTTATTTCGAAAAGTTGGAGTTCTAATTATGTTTATATTGCACACTGATTATTATGTTACAAGACTGGTGGTTTGATTTATCTTCGAAAGAGTTTATGGGTTTCGCAGAGAAGACAATGTAAAAATCTGCATTACTGAATTGTTGATATGGACGGATGTACATAAATAATTAGAAAGATAACATAATCTGAGTTGTGTAACCAAAGTGTTCATCCATTATCCTAATCTCATGGACGACCAATTGTGGATGACCACTAGAAATTAGCCTCGCTGCAGTCGCTTTTGCAAAAATCAAGTCGACAACGCCAAGTTGATTGAAATCTTGTTTGAAAGTGAACTAAAATTCAATGGGTTTAAAGTTATGTTTGATTTTCAGGAAATGAGTCAGCACACATGAGTTTTTCTTAGAAAAGGAAAACTAAATCTTCCTAAACAAAAATCGTGAAATTTGATTTCCGATCTTATACAAGTTTCATTCTGCAAATCCGCCCAACATCGACATAATTCAACTAGAAGTAATCGCATTTTCCCTAACTATATCTGACA